TCTTTCCTGCTTAGGGTGCATTTTTATGGATAGGGATATAGGCTCCCATTTATTTTGTGGCATCCAAGGTGCAGAGAGAGAGATTTAACTGCCAGTTGCTTTCTATTTAGTTCAAAGGCAGCTCATCTCTTGTGTGACCTCTGTAGGCATATTAAGAGTTTAATGCTTAGTAACAGTCTGGGGTTTTCTGGGTGACCAGAATGCAAGGTCTCAAACACCTAGTTTGTAAATGCTGTACATAAAGTAACTTGTGTTGTATGTTGTTTGTAGTGTAGTTTGTGTTTTGTCACTGTAAGAAATATTTGTTTAACCAAGTATGCCTGGATCATTACTCCTCTCAACAAAGCTGGGGAACAAAGAATTCATGTGCCTCTAGTTATACCAGCCACCCGTGTATATTGCTAACAAATAATTATTTTACTTATTGACTTAACCACTCAGTCAAATCCTTACTTTCACCATTTTCGTAACAATATTAATTACACTGGAGGATAGATCCAATCCTGGAATAGGGCCGACTGGCAGGACCTGGGAGGTGAGTCTCAGCATGATCTAACAAGGCTGTAGTGACATCAGTGCAAGGGCTGGGGCAGTCAACAGACAGGCAGGCACAATTGCTTCTTGGTTCACAAATGCCACTTAGGAAAACTAGAAACCTTATTTTGCTACAAACGACTCAGGTCATGAGCAGATAAAACAGTTACTCAAAAAGCTCACGCTTTGAACTGTAAATGACAGTATCATATGAACATATTCACCAATTGAAATATTTAGGCAAAAGGATTGCTATGGGGGAGGAAAAATTATTAAACATTTTTACCTCTGAAGGTCCTCACAACAGTGAGTCATAAAGGACTTGGCTCATTTAAATATGTGATGGCTTGAAAGCAGTTTGAAAACAACAGCAGAATGCCCTGAGGCATTTTGAAAGAATGAAGCTGGCAAAGAGGGCACAAGGCAAGAGGTTTTAAACTCACAAGAAAAACATTTCCATTGATTTACCACTTGGGTGGTTCCCTAAGAAAACAAATGATCTGAAAAATAATTCAAAACTCATCTAAGAAAAAAATATCAGTGTTCAAAAAGACAAGTTCTCCACCTAGTGGACACATGTATGATTGCAGCCAAGTACAATACAATACAGATGCGATGTTGCACACCCCTTTACTAGTGAATAATAATAATACCTCAAAAATCTCCTCGGACTACCGCACCTGGAGCACACTCTGCTTCCCCCTGCATCCACGAGACTTGCCAGATCAGCGCTACTCAACACCCGCTCCATAAACAACAAGGCTCTTCATTTATGTGACATTATCAAAGAAAAAAAACGGGATCTTCTGTGCTTAGCCGAAACCTGGCCCAGACAAAACGATGGACT